CAGCCACTAATCAGAGTACCGTTGCAGCCGCATGAAGAAGCGCGTAGACCAAAGGCCCCGCGCGGCAAGAAAAATCCTAATTATTGAACTCCTGAATTCCTATCTAATGAGAAGAAGCAAAAAGCACGAACTTCAGGGGGAAAGTCCGAAATTCCGAGAGCCATAGGGCCTCGACAAAATTCGAAAAAGATTCAAAAGAAAATTCAAAAAGAACGAAGCAAATTCCCGCGCGATGTCCGCGCCCAAAAGATCGAAACCGAATCGAAAGAAACGATGTCAACATTTATTAATTGCGCGCGCGGTGGCACGCCAGCCATCCAGCCGACCAATCAATCAACCGGCCATCCCAGGACACACCCAGCTCCAAACCCAGTCATTCGAAAAGAAGCGATGAAAAAGAAGAAAAGGCAAGGGCACTGATGCAATTTCCCACCTATCCCGATCTCCTGTAATTGGCCCAACCTTCCCAGCTTAGGACCCCTTGTTGCATCCGCGCAGAAAATCGCGCGTTACAGAAAGTGGTTCGTCACATATGTGATGCCCAGGGGGTTCCAATATTAGCAAGCTCCTGTTTGCTTGTTGACAGGTGTTGATTTCTCTAATCGATCGACACGCGGAGCACTTCTCTCTATGCCACTTACCGTTTAATTGCGTGTGGACGTCGTCAGACGTGGCAATACTGCTCTTCTACTGATTCCTCAGATTGGGCTCTCGACGATCCAAGGATGGGATCTTTCTCGTGCGGTCGCCGCGGTACGCGTCCATTACCGCTGCATAAGTAATTAACCGGGATAGGGAAAGGAAGTCTGTACATGGCGGCATGGCGGGGTGGAGGGTTTATGGGTAGCGGGGGCAGGAGACTTTCCATTCCGGCTACAGTCTCCAGGAGCTCCTGATAACGAACAATGCGATGAAAACGGGGGAATCGGTTGCCAGCGCGAAGGAGGGACGCGAGATAATCGGGATAGAGGGTGGTAAGAGTTCGGAAAAGTGCTGCGAGGAAGCGATCGCGGTGTTCGCATGCGGGGATGGTCCCCATTATCACGCAATAAACCTCGATCATAATGTGGCCTCGCCGCGCGACACTAAGGAGCAAGACATGGAGGCAGAAAGCTGGGACGGCGCATCGGATGGAGGGGTGGGGATGCACTACTACAGCGAGGCGAGCGGTGTAGAAGTGACGGAAGGTGTTGCGGGGGAACGGGTTGGAGGGGAACGTGATGGGGGTATTGAGCTGACGGAGGGTGAGGTAGTCAAGGGGACAACGAAAGAGTGATTGGGGATGAAGACCGATCGCCCGTATCGGTACGTCGACGAACTGGGGGACGGGTTGGGGAGGAGGGGGATCGGCTCCGTCACCGCGCTGATGGGGTCGGAGTCGTGGCCGCGAGGTCGCCATCTTCAGGTCGGGGCGGCTCTGGATCTCGGTTAGGGTCGTCGTGGATCTGCACACTCGCCGCGCTCGCGAGTTGTAACTCCTTCTTCCTGGCCGCGATCTCTTCTCTTTTGCGGGCTGCCTCGGGATCTTCAGCCTCTGTGCTTGTACACAGTGCTTCTTCCGGCACGGCTTCCCACTCTGATCCAGCAGGCTCGTCTTTGTGCTCCTCTTCTTCTTCCTCATCTTCTTCTTCTTCGCTCTGTTCCTCCTCGCTATGCTCACTATAGCTTCCTTCTTTGGGGGTTTCGTCCTCTTCCCCGAGCACTTCGTCGCTATCCCCTCTTTCTTCCTGCGTGCTTTCTCCTTCGTCACTCCTGGTGCTCTCTTCCTCCTCCTCTACTTCTCGAATGGCAGCAAACTGCTCCGCTGTAGGGTACCCGAAGAAGGCAGGACCGCGAGCCGTCCGGGGATCCAAATACTGTTGCTGCGACGGGGGGATGCGTTCTGCGGCTCCCTCTACGCAAGCCGACCATTGAAGGTAAAGTGTCAATGTGCGGGAGAGCACGTGAGGAACCAAATGCTCGTCATCTTGCGCGATGATGTCGAGAGGGAGATTATCCGCCAGCTGCGCCACCGGGATCGTGAGCTCTTGCGCAATAAGCTCCTGATGACCGGGCCGCACTGTTCCAAATAAAAACGCGAGAAGATCTCCTTCCACGTTGGTGCGCCAGGCCTGGATAAGCAGCAACTCTAGACGCTCTATGTGAGGTGGGTGCGCTCCGTCCTCGGTCCACGTCAGCCGTACCTCAACCAAACACAATGAAATCTCGATGAACTCCTCGCGCCACAAGATCCAATTGGGAGGATGAAGAAGGGGGACAACAATAGGCTTTACACAGTAGGAAAGACGAGGATGGATATCGGACAGCCAGAAGGTGGGGAAGGTTGAGGGGAGATAAAAAACGGAGATCGGAGATAGACTCATCGGGGATGTGGGAAGGGAAAGAGGACGGAGTTCCGCCGGCGGATCGCGCTGATACATCCGAAGGTCGTCGTACTCGATTGCTCGTGACGTCGCTATTAAATCCCCGGGACGAGCCAGCAGCTGAGTCCACTCGGCGACCAGATCGTTTGCCCACACGCGCAGCGATGTCTTCACCACTGCATGTCGTAAGGGAAGGAGTGTAGAGAGATCGCCGCTGAAGTTGATGATGACTGATATGCGGCTGACACCTGGCACCGCTCGCTGATGAACTGCTACTGCCTCGGCCAGTACCACCGCGTCTGGCCGGCCTTCGATTCTGAACACCGCTGCTGCATACACGCCTTCCGTGCAAGAGAAGTGCGCGAGCCGCCGAAGATCTGGACTGAGGCGGGGATGATGGACTTGCCTGATCGTCAACCGATCACGGGGCGCAAGCGATGTTTCTAGCGCAGAAGAAGGAGATGGGGTACCACCGCGTCAGGCCGCAGAAGCGATGTTTCTAGCGCAGAATATGAGGGCCCTTTCCTCCAGAAAACTCATGGCGATGGCGAAGGTGACGGGGAGGCAGAGAGGGAGCAAGAAGAAGAGGGAGATGCCGGGGAGGCAGAGCCATCGTCGTCGGCTTCCTCAGAGGGGGATTCAATGAAGAAGGAGATGGCGTAGAGGGGAGAAGACGAAGATAGGACACGTGGCGTGTGATCGGACGGGCCGATCGACTGCCAGAATCCTCGGGGGCAAGACGCACGGTGTCCACACCGTTAGGCCCGAGCTCGATCACCCAATATCGCCCGAAGAATCGTGGCGCTAGCTTACCCTGGCGAGCACATTTCCTTACCTTCACCACGTCCCCTAATTTGTACTGGGGCCGCGGACCCGCATTTCCCATTTTGGGCCTCGTAGCTGCGGACCTGTCAACCTTGGGCTAGTTCGATCATTTTCTGTCGTTTTCTGCCTAGCCTGGGCAGTGACGGTTCCATTAACTCAAGGTGCCGTTTGGCCTTGTCCTGAGTCGTGGCCCTGGTGGGCCGTCGGTTCAATGTAGACTCATCTGGGAGGCTTGGTATCGAAACGCAAACAACGCTATTGGTCCTTAATTGGAAGGGGCTTAGCCCTGTTGATTCGTGGGGCGCTCCGCGATGGACCGCAAGGATGTGGTCGACGATGAAATGCAAACAACGCTATTGGTCCTTAATTGGAAGGGGCTTAGCCCTGTCGATTCGTGGGGCGTGCCGCGATGTTTTGTCGCAATGCTGTCTTTATCACTCGGTTGGCGTTTTCCACCAGCCCATTGGATTGTGACATATGGGGTGCAGTGTTTCGTATGGCGACGCCATGCAGGACCAGGTTCCTTAGCACTTCCCCCCTGAATTCAGCCCCGTTGTCGGTCAGGATCTCCTCCGTATCCTGATGCATCCCGAGGAAACGGTTGACGTATCGTGCGATTTCAGCGGCTTGCCTCGTGCGACAATGGTAGGCCTCGATCCATTTCGAAAAATGGTCGACGAATACCAACAAGACTGAATACTCACAACTATTAGGACCAGGGGGCACTACTATGTCGGTAGTATCCATGCTTACTCTTTGGAATAGCTGTTCAACTACCGTAGGCACTATCGATCTCGGTGGCTGAATCGACGCTTTATCAGCGGCGCAGACTGGATAGTTGGCGACGATGTATTTCACATCGTCGCGGATATTGAACCAGTACCACTCATTTTCGTCGATAGCGGACTCCGTGATTCGCACGGCGAAATGAGCCGAAGTTTCCTCCCTCGTGCGCTGTCTTAACCCAGTCATATCGCATGACCGGATGCGGCACAACCATCCAAATCCCACTGCCGTCTGTTTTCCGTTTTTCTAATCTGCCCTCTATCCATCTGTAATCCCGGGCCCTTTCGTTGGCCCTCCTCCGATCCTCCTTGGTGAAATCCCGGAGGGGGTTGCCAACCAAGGTCGCAATCAAGGCAATATCAGTCCATACTTCGGCCCTTCTAAACCTCCGGTTTTTTTCCAACCCTTCTGACGTGGCATCCAAAAAGCGAGCCTCGGTCGGAATCTTGTCAGTCCGGCACAAGGGGCACAACCACGGTTTACTATCGTTTCTGTATTGGATGCACGAGCCATGGGCTCGTGCGACACACTGTCGACAATCTATCCAATCACCGTACCCTTCCCCGTTATGACGCATGGAGACCGAGAATACGCGGGAGATAGCTTCGCAAAAATAGCAAAATTTGTCAGGCAGGGAGAGGAGAGACGAGGAGGAAGATCACCATCGCCACCGTTTTGCTTCTTGCCACATGGGAGAACTGCCACTTGTCCGTACTTGGGCTCGTTTGTCAATTCCGGTTCCTTCCACAGTGTGATTTCCTCGCCTTTCGGTACTTTAGCAAGTCGATGCAGACATGTCAGTCCGTCCGCGTTGCTGTGTCTCTCCGTTTTCCGATGAACGATATCGAAATCGTACTCCTGTAGCCGTACCGCCCATCGGCCAATCATGCCCGTGTAGTTGGTGAGCTTCTTTAAAGCYAGCAGAGGCTCGTGATCCGTCACGAGGCGAAACTTCTGTCCGTAGAGATACGGATGGAAGTGTTGGATTCCCCAAACTACCGCATAGCACTCGCCTTGAGGTGCTGAGTCATTCCGGCATTCATCTTGCACTGTGGGTGATGCATACTCGATGACGTGTTCACGACCATCGTTCCCCTTTTCCGCCAGAATAGCGGAGATAGTCTCCGGTTGCCAGTCCGTGATAAGAATGAACTGTTTTGAGGGGCCCGGCCGAATCCAAATAGGAGCCGTCCTAAGGCGTCTTTGAGGATCGGGAAGGCCTGCTGGCACTCCGCGTCCCAGCTGAGAGGCTGGTCCTCGCGGCGAAGCCCTTGATGAAGCGCCAGTAGTACGACGCTAACCCCAAGAAGGCTCGAACCTGCGTCAGTGACGTGGGAACCGGGGCTTCTTTTACCGCAACAACCTTTCTTGAGTCCGGTCGTAGTCCTCCACGTGTCACGACGTAGCCGAGGAACGAAATTTCCGAGAGGAAGAATTCGCTCTTCTCGAGCACAATCTTGAACCCAGCGTCTCTCAACGCGCCCAATGTCCATTCGATGTGTTGCGCGTGCCCCTGATAAGTTTCCAAATAGACCAGGATATTGTCCATGTACACGATCACGCTGAAGTTAATCATCCCTTGTGTCAGCCGCGTCTTGTTGACGAAATTCTGGAACGTCATGTTCATCGCTCGCTGAAACGTGGCAGGCGCATTGCAAATCCCCATCGGACACCGAACCCACTGCCACGTGCCTTCAAACAACACAAAGGCCGCCTTCGGCCGATCTTCCTCTCTCACCAGAATGTGATGGAAACCATGCCGAATATCAAACTTGCCAAAATAATTAGCACATCCAATCGCATCCAGCAAATCATCAATCCGGGGGAGGGGGTTACTGGGGGTACACATCTTTGATCGTGATCTCATTCAGCTTGCGATAATCAATTGAAATGCGATTCTCTCCGTTTTTCTTCAGTACTAACACTACGTGAAATGACCAAGGTCCGGTGGCGGGTTCAATCCAGCCGCTGGCTTCAAACTCTCGAATTCGCTCGAGAGTCTTTTTGCGTTCAATGAAGGAATACCGGTAGGGTTTGCAATGAATTGGGGAGTGATTCTCTGTCTGAATCTCATGTTGGATTACTAACGATAAACCAATGTTAGTGTCTGTTACATTAATCGCTACTTGGTATTCCGTTAGAATGTCCGCAATCACCCAGTGGATTTCATCCGGTACGTACTGTTGAACGTGTAGTTCGAAAAGTTGGTCCCAGATCTGAACGTCAATCTGTTTCGTGCGCGTTTGTTTTACCACGTCGGGCGGAGGCGCCGAGATGAACGAATGGTGCGATTGCTAGGAAAACACCGTGGCCATTATCTGGGCATCTTCTTTCCGGATTGCCACGTGTCCTTCCCGGGTAATCCCGTCACAAATATCCTGCCATGGCACGTTCTTAGTTACGATCTTTAACCCCGGTTCGTCTATTTCTACTTCGAGACGCCCAGGGGGTTCCAGAGAACTTGCTTCCTCCCCCAAGCGTAACAATCTCACTTCTTTAGCAGATGTCAATAAGGACTTGGGTAGATCCGTAATGTCACAGTAATGCTTCTTATCGTTATACCGGGCGAGGAGAGGGGTGATTCCTTCGTACAGAGTCTGAGGGGGTTCCAAAGAATCGACCGTCCTCGAAATTTGCACGAGGGCCTCACCCAAGATCATCGCCTTGGTCCTTTGAATTTTTCGGCTGGTCAGTTGCATCGTTCCCGCTATCGTTTTGGGTTGTGGGTAATAAATGTGCTGTCGTGCTAATTCAAGATCTCCGGATCATTTTCATCACTGTTGTTCGCATCATTCGTTGATGATTTTTCATCGGCGGATTCATCCCAGGAGATCATGCCGAAAGTCCCTGCCATCATCGGCGAAACCCTTGGGACCGAGTTAATGGTAGTGCGAAGGGTCAATCGCATGGGCACAACGTAGGGTTTTCCTCCGGTATTGCGGAGGATAATCGATCTTCGTTCGAAATCCAAGTTTGCTCGTAGAGCCACAAGAACGGGAAGTCCGAAAAGATTGTCGTACGTATTAACGTCTTGTACTACGACATCTCCAAGCGCGTGCACTTTTCCTAATCGGAAAGCGACATTTGTCATTTTTCCCACGGTCTTGATCTTCACTTCATCTGCTGAAACGACAACAGAAAAATTTCTCAGACTTAAATAATAATTCTAGAGTAAAATTATATTCTAAATTTTAAATTTTCATTCCATCTAAAAAAATATCATTCCAATTTTAAAATTTTCCGTCTTACTTGAAAACTTTTCTTCCAAGAATGGGGTATCCCTTCTTATTTGAACTACATGCTAGAGATGGAATAAAAGTTTGGAGTAGTTCATGAAATATTTTAATTGGACTGTCATTCTAAGTAAGGATTTCCAGTCATAAATAGGTTAATCCAATCTAAATTAGACGATATTTGTTGTAGTGGAATGAAAGTCTAATTAAAACATTTCATAAACTCGTCCAGACTTTCATTCCGTCTTCAACAAATAAATGTAGTTGGAAGGGAAAGCTCATATTTAAACGCAAACTTATCAAATTAAATTGGAAATTTTATAATTGGACAAACATTGGAATGATAATTTATAAATATGAAGGATTTTTTTTTTATGGAATGTTTTTTTTTGCGTAGCACGGCGAACGTGTTCACACCCCTTCACATTCACGCAAACGTGCTCGCGCGTTCGCGCGAACAGGTTGCGAACATGTCCAGGCGAACGTAATTCTTTTTCGTAAAAAAAAAAAAGTTTTTTTTTCGGTTTTTGATTTTTTACTCATGATTGGCTACGAATTTGAACATGACTCCAAGGCAAAAGTTGCTTGTATTGTTGTTTTATATACCGTATATTTTTTGCAGATTTTTTGGAGAACTTGTTTTGTTTTATTTTTTTAATATTTTTTATGTTCGCGTTCGGAGGATTTTGGGCGCTTGTTCGCGTTCGGGCGAACATGTTCGCGTTCTCCTCCGAACGCGAACATGGTGCTACGTAGGTTTTTTTAACTTTCATTTCTCATGGGAATTTTTCTGTTGGAGCTGCTCTTTCTCAGTGAGCATGATCAGATCGTTTTTCCTACCTGCCCTTTCGACCAGTCTCAGTGAAATAGCCAGCACCGCTGCTCCCGAATCTATAATTGCGTTGTAAGGAATTCCCCAAATTTCAATATCGCATTCTACGGATTTTCACAGAATTGGTTTAATCCGCAGGAAATGGTCGTCTTTCTTGATTAAACCTATCCGTATTGGATCCGAAGTGCCTCTTGGGTTTTCTTCGGGCGTGGGACTTTTAAGTTTTTACGTTCGGTGTTCGGGCGAGGGCGAATCGCTTTCGGTTCGTTTTGCAATGCTGTAGCATTCGCTCATTGGCTTGTTCGGAGATCGAGAGTAGATGGCCGATCAGAATTGGAATCCGATGGTCCAAGGCTCGGACGATGTTTAATACGTCAATTTCTCCTGTGATGAAGGTGGGTCCTCCCGACTCCATTTCTCCTAGAGAAGGTCGCCACTCGGCCACCTCTTTTGGTTCGGGCGCGGGTCTGATTGTTCCAATCATTCCAAGTCCGGGATAACCAAGTAATACGTACTGGTCTAGCGGGATTAGCTCGGCTGCCTCTTCCGTGGTGGCTAGGGCGCTTCCCCCACCCTCTACTTCTTCCATTAAAGCTCTGACTCGTCCTGGTCCGTTAGCGATGGGGGCAGCCGCCATCAGCGCGACCCCGATCCGCTGTTGCGGGGGTCGGTGGGGGCAATCACGGGCTAGATGTCCTGGCTGATGACAAGCATAACACACATTCAGATTATTCGCGGCTCCCTAGAGAGCAGGTGTCGGGGCTAATCCTTGGTGCATCGGAGGGGCGCGCACCGCAATAGGCCGCATGTTCCTCATCATGGTTTCCAGTCAAGCATTATGCTCTCGCTGCTCCTTTTTTTGCTTTCCTAGATTAAACTAATCAATGTTTTGGTTAGTTCGAAAATGGCCGCTGATTCGTTCGATCGTACGAAAGACTCAATCGGTGGCGGGGATAACGCTCTGACGGGTGGGGGTATCACAAGAGCGGAGGTGCTCGGAGTCTCACATAGAGTCACTCGTTTGGGGCCTATCTGTTCCATATAGGTGACAGGTCCTGATACAAACCCCATGTTTTCAAACTTGTTCTGCAAGGCGGCCAGCTCAACTCTCGCTCGTGCGAGTTCGGTCGAATCTCTGTCTCTAGGATAATCTTCTCCTTCTA